CGAGACTATCGAGATCGCCAAGACCGCCAGAGACCCCACAAACGAGAAGATCTATGAATAGAATAACCGATGACCAATGCGTATGTGCCTCGGGACTCACCTTGATGCGCATAGGATTGTGGACGACGTAGCTGCCAACACCGCGAGCACCGCTCAACTGAAATGACCAATGAATGCGTTGCTAGCATTTCCACTATAATGGATATAATTTATATTATATACGTGCTATAATGGAGTTTCACCCTAGTGATATAAAAAACACTAGTGAAAAAAGTCATATTTCACGACTACTGCGTAGTGTGAATATCGCGTTTTTCACGGAGTTTTACACCAGTTCACGTAAAACGGGTGAAACTCCGAAAAATAATATACTTAATATCATTTAAAATAGAAAAAATAACGAGACGCCCTCAGCAAGTAAGTGGCGACGTTATACTACCACAGTTTTCCCAGCACTAGCAATCACACTACGAGTCATTCCAGCCTGTAGGTTGCTCTTCATAGAACTACTCTTGCCCACGGGAGCACCGTGAGGGTTAGGCGTCGGCCCTTGTTGCGAACCTGATCAACAGAGCGCTTCTTATCCAGTTTTATAATCTGCATATCACCACCATCAAAGGGGTCGTCTGCTGGGATCGATGATAGGCTTATCGACATCTATAAAAATCTAACTATGTAAGGCGAAGGACTTTCACCCGTGATATGAACAACTCTAGTAAAAAATATATTTCACGACTGCTGCATTTAGTAGATATCGTTTTTTTTCATAGAGTATTACGCCACTCCACGTAAAACTGGTGAAACTCCAATATATCGCAATGTCCATCCGACTGCACACAGCAGCTCATCCCAAAAACCTCCGGCAGACGCAACAAACAAGCTTTACAGAAATCACCACGGAAATCGGATTACAGCGGAGCGACGCAATTACTACCAACATAATGGTTCGATCAACGATGTTAGAGATAATATAAATCTGCGTCTCTGCATACCTTATGCCTGCGTTATCTTCGTTATGGCCTGCTCGAGGAATTTCGTCCCCTCAGCGCTCGAACTCGCCACCTGAAGAATAGACAACTGAACGGGTCAATTCACGAGGGGTATATTACATTCTTGCTAACTTGAGATTTCATCATCATAAATTTCACGAAATTACATCCACACTCCTTTTTCCTGAAAAATAATATGTGCTAGTGATCCACCCGATGTGAATATTGAGTCACATTGTCACACAATCGTTCCCATTCTCATCTTTGGCATCACGAAAGACGGCTCGCTCAGCATTGGTGAAATATGTGCCTGATAAAAAACATTCAAAAAATCATAGACATTTTATGGCACTACAAAAGGGGGCGTCCAGACTTTGTGATAAACTCTCGAGCCGTATTGAACCGTCGTCCTCTTCCAAACGCAGCCAGTAGTACACAATAACTCGGCTCTCATCGGCACACCTAGAGATGAATTCATCACTGAAAGCTGAGGAGGTAGGGATACATTGGGAGCTTCGGAATGGGCATGACCATGTTAATCCTCTTGCACAGAATTTTAGCGGACGAATCTTTGTCGTCTGTGAATCTAATACAAAGAGTAGCGCTAAGGTGAAACATACGAGCAGTTACTACTTGGCCCACGGAGTCTCTTCGAACTGGGACGCGCCAGCCTGCAGTTGCCATTCTTTCACAAGACCATCCTGTAGGAAGGCTTTCATTAGAGTGTCGGTATTGATGGCACTCAGTTCATCTGCTTCGTTAACAACTTGGTAACCGTGCTTCGGCAGTGTGATGTAAAAACCTACAGCTAGATTCATACCATAACCGAACCAACTCCTTCGAGAATTCGATAAGACACACTGTAATGCCACTACCAACTTGAGTACTCCCATGGACTGAACCAATGCACATTCCTATTATTGCGATGAGGATGATAATTCACTTCGCAAGTGGCACTACTTTGCATCTCTGGTATGGTACTCTCCTCTGCCTTGTCAAAGACAGCTTGAAAGGTCGACTTAGCGGACATGGTATTAATGCGATAACAACAACAACAACTACGTAGAGAACGACGAGCTGTCCGGGTGGAGCTTGTGTCGGAGCCTTCAAAAGACCTCTAGAGACTTCTACAAAAATGTGGAAACTGATTGGACCTACCAGAACTCCTCCACAACGATATCGACACGACTTCCGACAAGTCCATTATAAAAATTTAACCATTCGATAAATTATGGCAGATAAAGCGCGCTCGCCCGAGAATCTTCGGGCTGGACTCTTCGTATAGGATTTGTTCTTGTCTATTCAAGCTGTGTTCAAACTATGAGCACAACTCATCCAAGGTCGTCAACTTAGCAGCACGATGCTGCTGCTAATATTCAACTGCCATACGAGGCATGTTGCTTGCTGTTGCTACACATGCGTTGCCACATTCAGTTCTTCACAGTGGACGGCTCACACCAAATTTGGCTTTTATATGTGGCCCTAAGACTGTCGAATTCAACACTTCGCTTCGGGAAAGTCTCACCTCCGCGAAGCTGTAGTGAGCCTCCAGCAGAAACCCTCAGTCGGAGCAACCACATCATAGCCGCTGCGGCAGCGACTCTGAGGTAACACCAACGACGGACAAAGCTTGCTGCTAGCACTCACTTGGTCGCTCCTGAACCCGTTGCAGCGGTGACCAGTCGACTCGCTACACCTCGTGGATGAGAGGTGCTCTCAGTACCCGACAGTGAACTTGTCTGCTCATACGAGTTCACGGGCATAATAATAGATCGAACTCACTTTGGTTTCCTGCATTTCGTTGGCCACCACGGCGCGACTGAGCAGCATACGAGCTGCGCCTTGCCACTTCTTATGGAGGAGCTGCAATTCCTCCGTCTTTTGGTGCAGTTCTGACTCCTTTTCCCCGAGCTTATTGTGAGCCTACCGCGAACGTTGATACAAATCATTCGCAGCGACTTCACCTCTTGCAACTGCTTCCTCAGAGTCGACGCTTGTTGTCGCAAATTGTACAACTCCCGAGCAGCATATGCTACCGCGCCGGCTACGACGGTTGCACAGACTACATGGGGTAGTCGGCCTGAGCCACAATGAACGAGTTCGATACCCTCTGCTGTTCCATTCGACCCACCCTGAGTTAGCAATCCAAATGACGGGGCTAACCGAGACTTCAAGCGCTCCTCATTGACCAGTCCGAGAGCACCATGGCTGAGATCTCCACCAATTCGCAACGGGTCACTTAAGCACTTTTGCTCACTCTATAGAGACGCTAGTGATTCTCGTTCGGTTGTCGAGACTAGGAGTCGTCATCGAATAGGAAGGAATATTCAACTCATCACATTGCCTCTCGGGTCCATCATTAAACAGAACTGTTTGTATCCCCTGCAATACAACAGGTGAGGAATGGTAACGTTTCACTAGCAAAGATAATGGCCGTTATCGAGCACCGAACAACAGCCCATCTTGCCGGTATTGAAGTAGAGCTGAAGCTCCTCGTTAGTGTCGTCCAACTGAGTCCAAGACGCGACTAATGGTGACAAATAGTGGAATATGCCTTCCAGCATTTCCGATAAAACTTTTCCTCGGAAGCGCAGATGATAAGCCGACTGCAGCTCGGCCGAATTGTAGAAAACTTCGGTGAATTCCTGACGAAATAAATAACTGAAATAGTCGTTTCTGATTGCTCTACTTCACGTTCTTCAATGAGTATGCCGAATGGAGAGTCTGTCGCCATAAGGAATATCTCCTCAAGTGCTCGCCTGTAGCCTGAATGACACCAAGTGAGGCGAGCAGTGAAGAGCGCTACAGGACGGCTTACGTTTGAGCAGATCTCCTGAGCGCTGCCACGCTTCTTGTGCACGCAAATCCTCCATCTCACGCTGCTTCCTCACGGTGCACCCCAGAGCCAGACACGCCAAACGACGATTTGCCAGAGCGATCCCGTTTGGCAGATGACGCATCTGATTATCAATAACTGGACTCAAAAGGAATCCTCCTACCGTCGGGACGGCCGAGTCTGAATCCTCGAGGACATTCGCGATTTTCTTGGACAGTAACGGCTGATTGAAGTTTGATGAGTCCAATTCGGTCTGGTCGAAGAGGACGAAGTCGAGAATTTGGCCAAGTATGGAAGGGCCCAGGACCATAAGTTCAATCGTCATTATGCCTTCGTAAAGTAGTACTACGACGGTACTAGCCAGTTGCTACGGGGTGTTTAGCCACCCCGGGCTCCTGTGAAGTGCAAAGACCGCCTCCTCCCACAACTCAATAGCAAAGGATGAGCACAGACGCCGACAAAGGAACACGTGAGACATGAGAACAACAACATGACTATTAAACAGAGTGCCGAGGAGGGTGTAGCCTCCACAGTAGAGAAGCTCAATCAAGGTCCACCATTTTAGGCAAGTCGTCAATCGTCCACGTAGAAGTGCCTATGACATCACCCCATCGTTTAAACAACAAACTGCTGCAGCCTTACCGGAGAGTATTCCAACATCTTGAACGATTCGAAGCTTCTTATTGTCACCAAATGATGTGCCTTGCAGGTCCATCAACTTGGCAACTCCACTAATGTCCTCAACTCTGACAAACCCATAACTGAAAAATATGTCTACGAACCACAAATGAGTAAAGCAAGGTCCCACCCGCGAGGCTTCATAGTGATAGGGCACACGAGGACTCGACATTCGGTGATTCCGATGATACCGTTTGTGTCCATCAACCAATCAATGAGCCGTTCTTCATCCATATCTGCTCAACGGGCTCGGCATCTCATCTCCATGCCAGGCTCACTAAGTGGTAGATTCTCAAGTCTCACCCCTAGGGGGCCCGACTTCTTCTTCTCGCTTCCCCAATGGCCTTTTGTTGTAGGCGTGTCTGAATGGGAACGTCCACGCCATGGCAGCCATGGCGAGAGCCATGGCATGGCTCTCTGTCTACTCACCCGTAAGCATCATCTCTACTCTCCTCATACTCTTCTTCCTCTTATTCCGAGCGGCAGGTAACAGACTTTGACTCAGCTCAAGATAGCCGCCTTGTCTCGCGATATCCGATGCAGTTCGACCTGAAAGCATATGAATACACCGATGCCTCGACAAACATCACTCACCTTTCTTATCTTTGTCACTACACGCGCCTCCAGCAC